AAAATTAAGGCACTGAAGAGCATTTGAGACCTACTTGTTGGCGACCACACATACTTTCACAGTTTCCCTTGCGTCTGCAGAAAATTAATTTCAGAAATTCAGGGGTGCTGGAGTTTTGAAAGTTTTGATTGTAATCCAAATTTTTTCATATTTTTTTCCAGGATTAATTTTTAGGATTGCAGTGTTTCCTGGTGAAATACTCTTACATTTTGTATACGAGGCGCATCTTGTATTGACGTAAGCGATGAAAAGTTAAATGTAATTTTGGTCACTGTCTTGGCCAATCGTTTGTATCTCATGCTGTTAGAGAATCATCTTAATTTCCGCCATATAACGAGACAAAAAAACGTTTGCCAACGACAGTGGGCAAAGATTGCTCAGTTTTCTCACTAAGAGATAATGCTGTTCTGCTGGCTAACTCGGCTATGCCGATCTTGTAATCTACTAATATTGTTTCGCATCCTAAAAAATCATGGAGAAACAGCCAATTCTCTACAGTGACGTCGTCATATATAAAACTTGAAGGACAGTATGATTGATGCGACTTACAACCCTTTTGAAGGTTTGATGGTCGACACTAAAACCAACTTCTGATAAAGCAGTTTTGAGCAGGTTTATTAAGTTTGTTTTGTTCTTTCATTACCAAAAAATTATCTTGTAATATATTGGTACGGTGCGTGCTTTTATTAAACTAAAATAAATTCATTTAAAATGATATGAATAAAAAATATATAATTAAAAACTAACTCAATGGTTCGTTTTTGTCGTATTCTTACTAGTAATCAAGAATACGATAAACTTCGGAACACTGTAAAACCCAGAAAAATTTGTATTGAAAATGATTCGTTTAAAAACCCTCTATAATATTGCTCTTAAATAATTTTAGTGTAAAATAACTAGATAAAAAGTTAACCCTTTATCGGCAAAGGCATATATCTTAAATGACAAATTTGAAATATATTGCAAATAAAAAAGTTTGATAATGTAACCATATGGTCACATTGATCATGCATGGTTATGTTTAAGATAACTTACTTATGAAATGACACAAAACAATTTTTTTATCTGTGATACAAAGTCTAGCACTACATTTTTCACGCTGAAATTGACTTTTACTGGCTATATTGGCTTTATCTATCCCACCCATGTGCTTGTTGTAGTTTGTTATTACAGATGGACATACAATATCGATTTTCATTTTAGCGGTTTTGCACTACCTTTCTACTGAACTTATTGGCTCGACTCCATAGGCTGTGCCACCAAGTAACACACATGTATTGTCAACCCATTTGATAACGATGACACTATTCTATTTGTCAGCCTTATAGATATTCCCCTTCCTTACTTTTTTAAAATCTTGTCACTGTCAATTGGGCAACCTATAATTCTATCAGCTCGTAAAGTGCCTAAACTCAAGATTTTTATTGATTTTTTTAAATAAGAAAAAATATCAAAGCTAGAAAAATAGTTATCAAAGTACACTATTCTGTTATGAGGCTCATGGAGAGACTTGCATAGAGAAATAAAGACACTGGCTCCAACACCAAATGAATCCTCTTTTTCTGCTTTTTCATTACGAGTTCCTTTTAGTTCGGGAAAAGTACTTGAACCTTGGTAAGGTATAAAATCTAGTATACATCCAGAGACTCCAGCAATTACGAAAAAATTTATAACCCCATTTGCGGGGTTTGTTTTTTATGTATTGCCTCATCAATAGAGTAGTCATTTTCAAGATGAAATTTCCAACAATTCTGACAAATGTCTTCAATAAGGTCGTATCTTGACAAATCTGTCTTTGGTAGCCGGTGTAACACGGCTGTTGTCATTGAAATGGATATAACGTCTAAGTAATTTGAATCGTTTTACCGGCATAATACTAGCAATTTGTTCGACTCTAGTATCAGTATGCCCTTCATATGCCGGTAGTTATTATTCCCATTAAAAGAAGAATAGAAGTACAGTCTGTCATTTCTTTATGATTAGTGTTAATGCTGGCTTCGCTTTCTTGAGTACTGTAAAGATTTGTTTGCTCTACTATTTTATGAAAAACAACAAATGAAAAAAATTTCGTGAAATATTCGAGTGGGGATAATATTTCTTCATTAGCATTTGCAATGAAACTTTCTCTATTTTCTACAGCTTTTATATCTTTTTTCAACCAATTATATGTAGGTTTGGACTTTTTCTTTTTTGCATGGCGGTTCGCACGAGCTGCCTGGGGTAGGTTCCACATCAGCAATGTTATATTCTTAAATGTGTTCATAGTGTTCTAATATGCTACAATCAGAATCACTGTCATCTGTAAAAGATATTTATAAAATTTAATTCGACAACGATATAAAACCATATTTTACCTGACAACTGAAGTGATACCGGTTTCTGTATAAATTTCAAAACAGACTCTTCGTCGTCAGAAGTATCAGACCCATCAAAAATCGTAGGATCTACTGGTGGCAATATGCGCTAATTTTTTCCGTAAAAAGAGTGAGTTGGTATTACTGTCAACAAATTTTCCATATCCATATTTACTGAAAATTAAAAAAATCGTTATGGGGCAAAGTAACCAGATGGATACATTTGATTTTCAGATGTAATTTAATATCAAATACTACAAATAATGTATGTACATAATGGTAGAAACATTGAATAGTAGGTCTAGAATAAGTTTAAATAATAAAATCTATAAAATCGTAAATAAACTTACCTAAAACAACATTGTCGAACAACAACTGATAGTCGAACTGATAGCCGAGGGTTGAAGGAAATAGACCTAGGGAAAGATCTTCAAGCCGTTGGGTAGACCAAACAAAAATATTGATTAACCAAGGGTTACATGAAGCTGAACAACTAGCCCAGGACAGAGAAGGATGGAGGGAAATCGTGAAAAAACTGTGAAGGCCTGATAGTGTCACCACATCGCAGAAGGGATTAGGACTGAGGAGGAGGAAAACATTTTCTGCACTCTGTGTTTACCATAACCTCAAACGTCACCTGTGACCACCAAAACAACTACCTACCCTACCCTAAGTAGGGTACAGTGTACTTTGAAATCAGTGCAACCATATGGTTACAATTCCCGATATAGGGTTAATGCCGAAAGAAAATGTGTTCAAAAAGTGAATTTTCTTAATGACTTTTTTATGTTTCGTTTAATCATAAACAGTAATTGAAATAAATTTGTAGAAAAGTTAATTTGCTACAAATAATAATAACATTTTCTGTAGTGTTGTTAATTTACGAGCTACAGCGCGAAATCCCTTTGCACCCTTTTATTCCAAGATGCCGAGTATACAAGAATCCGGTCCACTTCGGAGCGCTGTAAAATCCAGAAAAATTAATAAGGTTAAACAAGTTTGTAATGAAAATTACTCTTTGAAAAACCTTCCATAATATTGTATGGATGTTATTTTATTGTAACATGTTCAGAAAAAAATTTTAAGTTATTTTTTTTATAACTTTTTTATTTTCTTATGCTTTTATTTTCAATGCTTACAGGAGTGCTATTTAAAAGTTCAATTATGATGGAAAATAGAAAATAGTAAAATGAATTGAAGTATCTACGTGCCGATTTTCTGAAAACTGCAAATACTATCTGAACTAAATTAGGTTAGGTTGGGTCTTCTCCTCGACCTAAGAAGTCTATTCTGATTCATTTCTAGGTTAAAGTTGCCCCTTCAGCCCAACCTTTTTAACAAAGTCTATTATGTCCTTTGGTAAAACTTCTACGAAGACGTAAGAGTAAGTCAAGTTGATAATACTAATAATGTATTGAGACTTATCCTATCTAACGGCGAAAGTGTTCCTCCGCCTCGTCTTCACTGCCATCCGCACATGAATACAATCGAGCCGATTTTATGTGTAGACCTTGAGGCGACACGGTCCGGTTAAGGGACCTACGATAATTTGTTCATTATTCCTATTCATATCAAAGCCTTAGAATGTTTACGACCCATTTGTCGTATCAGTGGTTACGTTTTATCCGTTTCTCCCAATCCGATATCGTTCTTTTGGTTATGCTTCTTGTTATTCCAACGACAGGTTCTGGGCCTATAAATATTTGTTTTGTACCTCCCCTGGCAAGTAGGTCCGCTTTTTTGTTCCTTTCATACCAGCTAGTGTATCGGGGCACCCAGAATAAACTTACTATGTTACTTTTTCCGATTTTAATAAGATGCTGAAGATAGTCAAAACTAACTTAGAATTAATTCGATTAGATTCCAGTGCCTTTAATGCCACCTGGCCATACGATATAATTTTTATATATTCATACAGTGTCCATACAGTTTCCCTTTATTAGTTTCTGCAGAGATATCTCTGTAGCATAATTGTACTTGGAAGGTGGTAGAGTGAGCACCTAACCTTTCACTACGGCTTAGCCTCCGTATACACCAGCAACAACTTCCTCATCGGTTTTAAAGCTGTCTTTGTACTAGTATTATTGATCTGTCACTATGAGCTTCGGGTTATTCGACTCCCATTCGGCCTTTTGTTGGCATTTGGACCATCATACTTGTGCTACATACGTAATCATCTTTTTGATTTCCATACGATTTTCCACATATCCTTCGACATATTTAAATCAAAGATTCGCATTGTTTGATATCCTTTCTAGATGGGAATTTTATGCAAGACACTTATCTGCTTATGTAGTTTTACTCTTAGATAGTTGACCTCATTATAGGATATCAATCAATTTTTACATTCTTCCCAAGTTTTAAGTCTTTAGTACTAATCTTGAATAATGTTGTAAACCTGGTTGGTTTTTCTCGTAGTAATCTTAATGGTGCTAAACAATTACCAGATTCCCATTGTTACTGAAGTCGTTGGTTTAATTATAAAAGTAGTTAAAGAAGTTTACAGTACATTAATATCTTAATGGATCTTATATAAAATAATTTTAAAAGACATTTATAAACCATTTCCTAATTATGATTTAAAATTATTTCGCAATAACTTATTGATCTTAAGTATCAAATTTAAACATACTTTTTTTATTTCAGAACATCTCACACTGGAAATACCACTCAAGAATTCAGAAATAATTTAAACTCGAGGCCAAAGTCACAGGTAGGTGCAAGTTACCAATAAATGTATAATATCTATTAACCATATTGTTGTATGGAATCGGTACGTTATAAATATATATCACTGAGATTAATTACACGTGAATATATGATATTATCAACATTCTCTATTCACTGTAGAATTTCGCGGTCAAATTTCACAAAGGCGGAAAATTATTTCAAAAATTATGTGTTGAGTGTATTATCATTAACAGATGACGTAATTTAAATCATAAAAGATACCATAAAATTTAGATAATTATAATTTTTATTAATTGCAACCAGGATTTGACACAATTTATCTCCTAGTTTTGTACTATTTGACCTTACAAATGAATTTTGCATTACAATTGCTGTAAAGTGTATATTGCACCAAAAATAATTATTTCAATTAAATATAAACGTTAGAAAAATGTAAAAACATAAATTAAAAGAAAAACAAACACCTGAACAGCTGAAAATGAGTTCAATAAAATTACCCGGGACATATTAAGAACAGAAGAAATATTTAAAGCCTTAAAAAATACGGTGTGCTAAATAATACATTCAAGACTACATCAAAAGTCTTAAATCTTAAGTCTTAACAATTAGTAACAAGAAAGTGTTATGGTGGAATTCAACAAACACCGAAGATGAAAACCAAAGAGGAATGGCCGAAATGCGAATGAGAAAATCAGAAGAATGAATATTTCAAACTGGAGAAGGTAAATAGGGAACAAAAACGAATCGAAATTAGTAATCGAAAAAAAAAAACTAACAATAATATGTGAAGGAAAAGAACGCCAAATACAGATAAAGAGGACTGGAGCAGCATATTTTATTTAAAAATAAATTAACGAAATAATTTATTTGTCAAAAACTAACTACTATTAATTGAATTAAAAATATTCCAGGCCACTTTTTGACTGGCAACTTATTATCAATGTATTCTGTTTGATCAAATATATTATAAACATATTGATCCTGAAGTGGGATCTTGTACTAAGAGGGTTGATGGAAGTATTTTTTATTATGTGATCTAAGTTTTTTACGGAGTTTTTCGCGAAAGTGCATATCGAAAATTTTAGTCTGAATCCTTCATTTTCTATTCCTTTTAATAATTTTGATAAATGCATTATGTGTTCATCAAAGCTTCTGGAAAAAATTAGAATGTCATCTATATAATTGACTGTAAAGTCTGAAAGATTATATTTTCATATAATGTTACTTAAAATGTTTTGAAAAATTGCCGAAGCCGTCTTTAAAGCAAATGGAAGGCAAGTCCTTTGAAAATGACTGTCTTGTGTTACAAATGTTTTACGTTTTTTTTTCTTATCTTGTATTCTCATAGATATTGAACAGAATCATGAATAATTTATGTCTAAAGTTTTTAAGAGTATTTACAATTTCTAGTTTTTGCCATTAAGTCCGCAATCAATGGAAATTGTTGTGACTGTGGGATAACAATTTTAATGAGTTCCCTAAAATCTATACAAAGTCTTGTTTTTCCGGCATCTCTTTTTTTATATGCGACAGTTACTTGGGCAGCAAATGGACTGTATTTGATTTTCTACCGCTTTTCTGTCTTCAATGATACATCCATTTGGAGTAATATTTCTCTACCATATTATTTATATTCATTAATCAATTCCTCAATATTATTGATTTAAATCTAAATGATTAATTTTTATTTGAAAATTATCCGTATTTATACTCTCATTAAAATTTATTTGTGACCTAGAAACTCAGGAATATTGACATTATCTATAATATGATGTATTCTCAATTTCTTTAGGGTTATTTAATTGTGAGATTCTTAGATCTTCGTTTTCATTTAATCTAAAATTCTTTATACAATCTAACCCAATTTAAAAATCATAATTAAAATGTTTACTATCCACAACGTATACATCCATTTTTTCTCAATCTCATAGATTTTTATCTTCAGCGTTACTATATCATTTGTTTCCTTCACACCATTAAGTGTCCTCAAGTTTACTATTTGCAAGTCATCTTTTTTCTGGTCTTTTATCTGTAATAGTTTTGCATTGATCGATGACACATTTACTTGATTTGGTATTAAAAGTTTTTTGGATTTGTTTCATTTAATTCTATCTCTAGTGGAGAGTTGTTGACAGTTCTTACTTATTGACTTTTACCAGTTTCTTGATTCGGGATGGAAACGTAAACCTTTTCCTTCTTTTTCAGAAATTATACGAGATTTTAAAAATAGTCTTGGAAATTTCGATTTTATCGCTGTTTTGGTCGATTTTGAATATAGTACTTTGAATTTCAAATGTTTCCATCCGTTGTAAAACGTTCATATTTTTACCTTGTGAATTTTTCTATTACGAATTTTTGTGATATTTGTTTTGACTACAGGTTTGAAATTTTTGTTTCTCATTTGGTGTAGTTACCCTCTCTAAGATATGTTCTAATACGTCCATTGAAACACCAGTTAAGAACATTTGAGATTCTTCAGTGTGACCTATTTGCTGTTCTAATAAAAAGTTCTTGATCTCCTTTTGTTAGAGCTCTTTTTCCTTTTTAAAAAGCTGTTGTAGCTTGTATTTTTTCAAGATTGAAAATATATTGCATATCAATTGGCATTATAAAGATTTCATTTTTCTTAGTCTCAATTAAGATAATGGCGAATTGTTTTATCACTCGCTCATGCCTTCAGAAATAATTTCAAGTTTCAGTTCTGCCATTTGAACTTACATTATAACCAAAAATTTTGTTTTGTAATAATGTTTGTTTCTTCAATCAGCAAAGTTTCATTAATAAAACTCAATTGTGTTTCTCTGCAAAAAGAACAACTTTATTATTAGCTGTACAATATTAATTTAAAATTACATTACCTGCAAAAAGAAACAATATTTGAAGCTTTTAACTAATATTAAAATGACGTTTGTTATGCTACAATCTCAGTTGCCATGACAACGATATTACTGTTTGACATTATTTGTATCATACAAATTTCAGTGCTAGCATAAATTTATGCATAATATCTGCAACAATATTTACTTCAAATTATTTTAATAATATTTTGTGTCATGGCTACAAGAATAAGTTTGAGAGAAAAAATTTAAATTACCTATACGTCTTTTGGAAGATAACGATAGAAGTGCCAGGGAAGTTTGTACAATATTTAATGACAGACATGTAAGGAGAGCGCCCACCAAAGTGGCGTGGCAGTGGCAAGTAGCAAGTAGCACGCGTCTAGCATAATGTAACCAATCCTAACGAATGATTAGAATGAATGACGTTACTGTCATTTTGGTGTAAACTGAATCATTCGTTTTCATTGGTTACATTATGTTAGACGCGTGCTACTTGCTACTTGCCACTGCCACGCCACTTTGGTGGGCGCTCGCCCTAAATCGTCCTAATATTAGCTGCGGTACGGTAAACAAAATAAATAGAATATTTATTGAATATGGTGCAGTATCAAAACTAATTTTAAAAAATAATCCGTTACAAAGAAGAACAGGAAATGACCAAATCATTTTAGATCATTTCAGAAATAACCTTATGCCAGTTTAAGGAATGCCAATTTATATTTGAATGTGCCTCGAGAGAGTATTCGCGATGTCTTAAGGTAAATAATATTCAAACGAAAATTCTTACACACATTACAAGACGGTGACGAAGCAAAACGTTTAGAATATTGTTTATGGGCCCAATGGGAATATTTAAACAATATATTTTTTTTAAAAAACGTGTTGTTTACCGACGAAGCCACTTTCTCTACAAATGGAGTAGTATCATCACAGAATTGTCGCTATTGGACAGCAGATAATCCCCATTGGGTAATAAACTGTAAAAGCCAGTATTCTCAAAAAAAAATGTCTGGTGTGGTATACTGAACGAGCGAGTTATTAGTCCTTTCTTTTTGAAGAAAACTTGAACTCACAGAACTTTTTAGAATTTTTAAACATGGACTTGTGGGATGCTATTCATGAGCTCCCAATTAACGAACGATTTAATTTGTATATCCAGTTAGAGGAGTGTTCTGTTCATTACGCCAGAACGGTGAAGCAATGGCTAAATGAAAATTTTCCGAACCGTTGGATAGGCCGGGGTAGTCCGTTGATAGATTGGCCACTCAGATCTCCAGATCTCACAATTTTAGACTTCTTTCTCTGGGCAGTTATCAAACAAAAAGTTTACTGAGAGAAAAAAGCACTTCGTGCAAGAATTCGACAGGCATGTGCAGAAATTATTCCCCAACAACTAAGAAATGTAATTAGAAATATTCATAAACGCTACGACAAATGTATCCAATTAGATGGTGGATTGGTAGAGGCAACTAGGATTTAAACTAAAATTATGTTTCCATGTTTCTGTTAATACAAAGTGTTTTTTTCTTAGTGAGTTTTTAAATTTTAAGTTGTGATAAGTTTGTTATTAATAAATATATCTTAATGAAATTTTTGTCATAGCTATTTGAAGCCACTCTAAATACAGTGCCGAAGATTTTTTTTAATTAAAAAATCACTAATACAAATTCTCCCTTTTCGACGAAGAAATAGTATCGTAGAATGCCCTGAAAATTTAACTAAATATTTCATATTTTGTCCCGCAATAGACCTTTTATTACATGACATTAAAAAAAAATTGGTTAATATCGATTAACAACTTCAAATTTTATAGAGGTGTTTCCAATCTAAATGGGTCACACTGTATATTTAATATTCCACCTTAGGCTTTTTACAGTTTGGCTGAGTATCGTGTTCTTCACTACGTCTTCATCGTCGATCTCTTTGTCTTCTAATTGAAACGCATTTTTTCTCAAGAGATTCTAGTAAGACATTCTCAATTTCTTTCTATGAGGCTCTCCTCTTATCATAATCAATGTGCACCTCATTACCATAGATATCTTGAAAATTATTGAATTTTTTGTATACTTGGTCTTAGCAATGAGAACAATAATCAGCACCTTTCAAACCATGTGAAACGCAGCTCCATATTTTGGAGCAGTGATTTTTGCAGTTACAGCTAATCGTTTTTAATAAATTTTCT